CTATATATATATATAATCATACCACTTATAGAATAACCTATATATATATATAATCATACAGCTACCACTATATAATAACACTTACCACTTATCCATTATCATACTTTATCTCTTTAATCTTCCATAAAAACATGTTTTACTGCATAAGTTACTCTATATCTAACATCACTCACATCATGACAAACAGCTACTAAGATGTGATATGCTACTGTATACCAAGGATCACAATGTCCGTCATGTAACTAGCAAAATATATCCAATTTCACAAAAATTGTTAGTCTGTATTTTCCTACGCTTCATATAATCGATAAAGATAATCCGAGGACAGCTACATCTTGACCAAAACTCTACACACTATTTAAATAGATTTATAAAATAATAGCATCTTACCCAAACATCCAACACTGGGTACCAACTCGTTTACATCGTGTGTCCGTAACGTAACTGTAGTACTGCCTGTCAGAACAATAACACACTAATTAAGTTCAATGGAAGGTTAATACCACAGTAAATAATGCTACCTATCTAAATATATATTTAGATATCCTGTTAAAACTGTATGTGATCTTAACAATTTGTACTGATGAAATTTTTCAAACTGACTGGATTGACGAAAAACACTAAATCCAACTAAAAAAAATGCTATTAATAACATAAGGTGTAAAAAAACATTTCTAAGATGGTTCTTGTTCATTTCTGTTTTGTTTTTTCATTGTCAGAGATCTCCTGAGATGAAGTACAGGGTGGGTATAAAGTCTTGCACCTGACTCAAAGGGGTGTAGCTCAAACAGGACTATGCAGATGGAGTTTAAATTCACAGGGTATGATTTTGTTTCACTGTTACCCACACATCAAGAGGTCATTTCCTGTGAATTTCAACTCCATCTGAAACAGGTGTAAATCTTTACAGCCATTCTGTACTTGGTTAAAACAGCTATAAATTCAACAACTTGTGATTAAACAAAACTGTAAAAACAATAAACTCTTGCTTTTACATTTTAAATATTTCAAAACATCAATGGATAGCAATGATAAAAAAAAGTTAAGTCAAAAATCAGTACCATAATCTCAATACCTAAGTGTTGGAGCCACAACTATTCCTATCAGGCATATCCTTCCCACACTCAGAGCATGTCCAGGAGGTATTTCAAATATGTGTTTCAGAAAGAAAGTGTTCAATTCTGTAACCTGAAAAAGCAGGCAGCTGTTACAGTCTTAATCTGAAGTATTTCTGGGTAGCATACTAGGATTTAAAATGAATTTCTGTACTTAGAAAGTTAGTCATTAATTACATCTATTAGAAAAAGTCATAGTTTTTTATCCAAACTTGATTGTAACTTCGTTATCTGAAAAAATAATCAAAGCTACAGGGAACCAAATAACAGTTGATAAAGTATAGAAGATCTTAACATATATTTTTTATAGTTTGATAAACTGAAGATGAAAAATAAATCCTCATTAAAAGTGACAGTTAGATGACTGTTGCAGATTACATCGGAACTTCTCGTTATCTTTGCTTACACACTCCTGGCTTTGGGAAGAAATTTTCTGAGTTTCCAGAGGTTTTTCTACCGCATTTTTACACTTGAAAAATTATAACATTGCTAGTTTGATAATAATAATGTTAAAACATATTTCAATATTGTGATTTTCATAAAAATATTAATCAATATTAATTCAAACTTAATTTTCAAACACATTTCTCATCATAACTTAAAATGATTAATTCACTTTTGCTTATCATATTACTTTTAATAACATAATGTGATTAGTTCACACTTGCTTATCATATTACTTTTAATAACATAATGTGATTAGTTCACACTTGCTCCTCACATATTACTTTCAATAACATAATGTGATTAGTTCACACTTGCCCCTCACATATTACTTTCAATAACAATGTGATTAGTTCACACTTGCTCCTCACATAGTACTTTCAATAAATAATGTGATTAGTTCACACTTGCTCCTCACATAGTACTTTCAATAAATAATGTGATTAGTTCACACTTGCTCCTCACATAGTACTTTCAATAAATAATGTGATTAGTTCACACTTGCTCCTCACATAGTACTTTCAATAATATGTGATTAGTTCACACTTGCTCTTCACATATTACTTTTAATAACATAATGTGATTAGTTCGCACTTGCTCCTCAAATTACTTTTAATAACTTGACATGATTAGTTCGCACTTGCTCCTCAAGTTACTTTTAATAACTCGACGTGATTAGTTTGCACTTGCTCCTCACATTACTTTGAATAGCTTGATGTGATTAGTTTGCACTTGCTCCTCACATTACTTTGAATAACTTGATGTGATTAGTTCATACTTGCTCCTCTCGTTAGTTTTAATAACTTGGCATGATTAGTTCACACCTCAAGTTACTTTTAATAATTTGATGTGATTAGTTTGCACTTGCTCCTCCCATTACTTTTAATAACTTGGCATGATTAGTTCACACCTCAAGTTCCTTTTAATAACTTGGCGTGATTAGTTCACACCTCAAGTTACTTTTAATAACTTGATGTGATTAGTTTGCACTTGCTCCTCCCATTACTTTTAAATGCATGATGGCTGCACACAGTCACTGCCAAATAGCCCACAAGGGCTGTTAGTGGGTTGATACCATATCTTGGTTTGTTGTATACAAAATTGTACAATAAAAGTAACATTCTACTAATTGAATTCTACTGTTTTTCTGTTAACAAAAGAGTTTCGGTGCCTAAATTGAGGCACATCACTGAACTATGATGATCTCTGATCATTATGGCAACCCTTGGTAGACTAAATTTGCTAATAATTATTATAAAATTTTGTAACTTAAACTATAAAACAATGGCTTAGTGTTTCAGTTACAAATACTTGACATCTATATACAACAATATAATTCGAAAATGTCTTATTACAATGCATATATGCTGGTGTAGGCCAATTACAATTAAAGTAGTAGAGCTCCAGTAGCCAACAGGGTCACACAAAGCTGTGAGCTTGTCTGTGTTTATAAATAACAGCTCACTGTGTAGCCAATGCCATGGCAAATAACAAGATTTGAATTACTTTTTGGTAAGAAGAAAATGGCCAGTAGTGGATCCAAAACAGCAGGCATTGAGACAGACTTGACGGGGGCTCTAACAAGCTCTAGCAAAATTAATTTTATGGATGCTTTCGAGCATCAGAGTAATGGTGGACATTAAATGTGAAGGACTATAAATTAATACATTTCATTCAATGTGATACTTTATTAACATGTATTTAAAAAAAAAATACATTACTTGCAGTATACATGTGGTTTAATACCTTATTTGTACTGGTTTAACTTCTGAAATATTATGGATATTTCTATTTTGTAAACAAAAAGAGTATTAATAATACATATAAATTAGTATTAACTAATTAAATTTGTTATAAGCCTTGCTAGTAAAATCATTTACTATAGTTTGATATAACTAAAAAAACTTAAATATAAATAAATAAGAATATTAATTTTTGATATATATGTTTTACACTCAGACGTCAGACTTCAAAAATGAACACAATATAATCAAACATTTAGACTCATGTCCAACTTCAACAAGAACACTTACTTGCCAAAAAATCACAAGTTCAGACACAGCCAAAAATCTCATGTACGTGCAGTTTGGATCTAGCCACCTGACATGAGTCCAACTGGAAACAAAAAAAGGAAGTTTTAGTATCATTACTCAACATTATCTTCCAAAAAAATTTCTAATATCAAGAGTTCGAAAACAAGCAATCGTCACCGTTTGGTAATTCTAAGTAACATTTCAGGAATGTGCAAGCTTAGACAAAAAACAAACAAACAATTGAACTATTTGTACAGTATTCTAAAATAATAACTTACAACCTGTCCAATGAAGAATATATATATATATATTTAATACACGATTAAATTTACATTATTAATTCT